ACCACCAAGCGCCTGGGCTGGCCGCCGGCCGCGGGCCTCTGTAGCAATATCAAATCTGAGCCGGGCTCCTTCGAGGAAGGCCTGGGCAGCAGCTGCAAACTGGGCCTGAAGCAGGCTCCCTACGACCAGAACGAGGTGAAAGAACAGCTGAAAGCGTTTGCGCTGAAGAACGCAGACTTCTCTCCCTACTTGCTTTCTGAGCCACAGAAGCCTTTCCCCCCATTAGCTGCGCAGAAGATGCCGGCGCCGCCACCGCCGCCGCTCTGCGGAAACTACCCAGCCATACACTTCGGCGGTACGAGCTTCAAACGGGCGGCCTCTGCCATCGAGAAGTCCATCGGGATGCTGGGCAGCGGCGCTGGTGCCGCCGCCGCGGGCCTGCCTGGCCAGGGCGCCCCGGTGCCCGCGCAGAACTTCGCCGACAGCAGCAGCTCCGAGGAGCTGGAGCTCAAGTGCTCCTGCCGCCTGAAAGCCATGATCGTGTGCAAGGGCTGCGGGGCCTTCTGCCACGACGACTGCATCGGGCCCTCCAAGCTCTGCGTGGCGTGCCTGGTGGTGCGGTGAGCGCGTGTGCGATGTGCCTGGTGGCACGGTGAGCATGTGTGTGCATGGTGGCGCGGTGAGCGTGCATGTGTATGTATGTGTGTGTGTGGCGTGCCTGGTGGTGCGATGAGTGTGTGTGTGTGTGCATGGCGTACCTGGGGGTGCAGTGAGCGTGAGTGCATGTCATGCCTGGTGGTGCAGTGAGAGCCTGTGCGTGGCATGCCTGGGGGTGCAACAAGTGTGCGTGTGCCTGGTGTGCCTGGCGGTGCGGTGGGTGTGCGTGTGCGTGGCATGCCTGGGGGTGCAGTGAGCGTGAGTGCATGTCATGCCTGGTGGTGCAGTGAGAGCCTGTGTGTGGCATGCCTGGTGGTGCGGTGAGTGTGTGTGTGCGTGGCATGCCTAGGGGTGCAGTGAGTGCATGTGCATGTCATGCCTGGTGGTGCAGTGAGAGCCTGTGCGTGGCGTGCCTGGGGGTGCGGCGGGTGTGCCTGGTGTGCCTGGGGGTGCGGTGAGCGCAGTGCGAGGTGCAGTGTCCCTTTTCCACGGTGCAAATGCCCAGCGGCCGCAGCCAGTCAAGTAGCGCGGAGCTGCGGGTGCGCTCATTTCCTTCCTCTGGGCCAGGTGACCGCTTCTCCGCGGGGCTATTGGTCTGCGTGTCTCGGGAAGGCGAGAGGGCCTCCCATCCGAGTTGCTCAGCGGCGTGTCTGTCACGTATGTAGTTGGCTCCCCAGCTTCGGACAATTTCCGCCCGTGTTTGCAGGTCACTACCCACCTTTCATTTGTGGTGTTTGTTTCAGTTCAGGTGCAGAGAGGAAAGGGACATTGTCCGTTAGGACTAACCCGACGCAGGTGGAGAAAGACGTGGTCCGTGATGTGAGGTGGGCGGTGCATTTCCTGTAGCTGAGCCGTTACGGCGAGGGCTTGAGGGTTTTCTGTTGGCTCTTCTGGCACCACCTTTCCCCGTGGTGAAACCGTAGTTGGAAAGGGGACTCTGATCTCAATGTTCGCTTCCTTGTCTTACATCACAAAAGATACGGTGAAAGAGGTACCTCCTGACTCTCTTTCCTCCTTGTGCCCTCCTCTCAGAGACGGGCAGGGTATCTGCGTGGGCCTTGGACATGGTGCACACGTTGTCCCATAATGTGTCTCGGGCCGGACATTGCATGGCAGTAGCTTGGTCCGTGCCCTTTGACACCTGACCCTGGGGGATCAGTTGGCCACCAGAGAGCCCTAGGTCCAGAGGATGTCAGAGCTTCGTGTGTGGGCTTTAAGAGCAAGTATTGTAACAATGCCTTAAAATTCAAACAAAAATGCTGTGCGTGCCAACACATACAAAGGGGCAGGTCATGTCACTATTAGTCCATTCTCTTCACCCCTTTACAACGACTAGATATGAACGCTGGGGGGAAGTTACCGTAGACCCTGCGGGCGGCACCAGTGCCTCCGGCTCCCAGCTCTGCAGAGGTTGGCCACCTCATGTTTAAGGTGTCCTTGACGATCTAAGGGACCACAGAAGGCTGAAGGGCTGACGTTTTTCTGAGCAACTTTTTCCTCGTGATTCACAATCTATCCGATCCTGCTTCACCCTGAAACAGCCACCGGTTTTGAAATCGGCACAGGCATCGCCTGTTGTGTTTTCTTGCCCCTCAGGTGAGTGCGGCGCAGTCTTCCTGTTTGGGGAGCGGAGCTGCTTCGGAAAAGGGACGCTGCCTCTTCCACGCGCCGCCCGTGTGTGCCCCGTGCGTCTGAGTGTTGCTTACCCGAGCGTTGCCCGCCCTCGTGCCGGAGAACAGCTTTAGTTCCAGCTCTGTTCCCTAAAGCAAGTTCAAAAGCACACGCATGTAAGAAGATGGAAGACAACAAAAGCCACGCCATCTCACTTCCGATTACAGAGCACAAAACGCGGAGTGCCATTAACCCGCTGATCGACTGCGGCCGTAGAATTTAAAAACACAAAACATGGGGGGGTGGGGATTTCACCTGCCCACGGTGAGAATGACAGCTATTTTCACGTGGGATCATCCTAATCCATGCAAACTTTCGACATTCCCTTAAAATATGTCTTAAAAATTAACTGGAATGAACAGAAATTGCATTCTGGAGAAGAAAAAAAACCACACTTGTGATTTTTTTCCCCACAATAATCAACTATGGTATATGTCTCCCCTCCCCCCCGCCCCCTTCCATATTTATTATCGTGATGTTGCCAAATTTTGTTAGGTGGCAGAGCTGTCGTCGTTAACGCATTGCTGATAGGGAAAGGTATTTTATCTTCCAAATCAAGACAAGCAAAGAAGGGCCTGTTTTGTGGCCTCAATTTGGTGCTTCAGTACCGTCACTTCTGTTTTTCACATGAACAGTAACAAGATCAACTCCTACTCGAGAAAAATAGCAATGCCCTGACCCAGCCCTTCCCAGGGAGGAGGGATGCAGCTGAGCACCGCGAACCTTGCCTCCACTCCGGGTGGCCTGAAGATGGCATCCTCGTCCCAGCGTCCCAGTGGTCAGCTGGGCTCTGATGTCCTCTGGGTCAGAGGAGCATGCTGTCACCTCCTCCGGCTCTCAGAGGGGCATCTCCGAATCTAGACACGTGCATGCCAACTCCTTCCACACTCAGCTGCTGCTCTGCCAGTGTCAGGTACTGTCTACACCAGCAGATTCACTTCTATCCTATCAGTAACTGACACGGTGTTGAAAGACACTCCAGCCTACGAAACCTTTGCACTCTGTCTGCCGATGAGGTACGATCGAGGCCGATGTGGTGCTGAGCCCATTGTCCGCCCGTCCTGGTGGAATCCTGCCTGCGAGTCGCTTACTGGGAATAACGAAAAGTGGCCTTCTGTATGTTTTGATTTTTCGCAGAATAGGTTTGGGAGATCAGTCGTTGACCATGCATGGATTCTATCCCCTGGTCCAAAGAGCTTACTTTTTCCATGCCCTTGCTGTTGTGGTTTTGTTTGTTTGTTTGTTTGTTTTTTGCCCCAGTTTAAAGTTCTAATGTGGACATATGGTTTTTATGACTGAAAAATTAGTATCTTTGGGCTAAAAAATAATGGAAAGAAGCTAAAGCAGAAGTAGACGGTCCATTGACTAGAGACACAAAAGCCAGTCTATTTAGATGAGGTGAGTAGATCCTTAGTTTCCTGACTCCCACAGGTGTCTGCCTGCGTGCAAATGGAATATGTGACTTCCTACATGGTTATTGTGGTGTAATGTGCAAATCTTAGCATGTGCGTCATCCTGATCCTTGGCCACTACGCTATCTATCCTCATCAGGAGTAGACCTTGCACATGTGACATGCAATTTTTTTTTTTTTATCACAAAGGATGTATTTCCGTAAGTAGCACTTTCGGAGCAGGGGAAGGAGGGACGCGCCACTCCCCACCCCCCTCCTACATGATATGCATTTGCCTGAGGTGTACAAAGACGTTCAGGTCGTCAGCGGGCATGTTCATAAGAACGTTCGGATGCAAATTCATTTTCAAAATGAAAAGCATGTCCTTCCCCCCCGCCCAAGGGAGAAGAGCAGGGATGCTGGTGGTGACCCAAGCACCACGGGGACCAGACGTCCCCGCTAAGGTCGAGTGTGAGAAAGAAAACTTGAAAAGCCTATGAGGTTGAGCCTGGTTGCTATAAAGACTTTGTGGAGATGCGTGCTTCTAGGACGAGCTGTAGAAGGTTTAGTTGACTTCCAGACCTTGGGTCGTCTTACTCTTCCAGAATAAACACAGACACAAGCAAGCTGCGGTGCACGGCTTCACAAGGCAGTCAGGGGTAAGCACCCATCATGCACCGGCTTCCTTTGACAGACCCTCAGAATTTCCAAAGCGGGGCGTGCCCCTGGCCTGGGTTCCTCCTTGGTCTGGTCAAGTCCCACTTACGGAAGCTGCAGTCAGGTCAGGGTTGCGTGGTCTCTGGGGTCAAAGCCAAGCACCGTGCTGACTGCCCGGTGGGCAGGAGCCCACGGAACATGCAGAGCCCAGAGCCACTGTCCAGGTGAGTCCGGGCAGAGGAGCTCCCCAGACTGTCAGGGGCCTGCGGAGCCAGAAGGTCACCGAATAGAAGATCCGTGTTGTCTTCAGTCCTCACGCTCTGTCACTGTAGAGCAAACAAGACGCATTTTTACCTAATTTAAAGGAGCTGCTTTTTTTTATAGCACATACTCTTTCGCTTTGTACTATATTTGATAGTCGCAGGAGAATGTAGGCGGTAGGAAAACTTGGTTGTATCGTACTATTCACGAATGTTTCAAAGAAAGTGCTCTATTCGGCTGCCATCATTTTTTTGTACTGCTGTATTTCTTCCCCTGCTTCATGGAAACCGAATCCGATTCATATTTTTCACTGCAGTTTCTTTTTTTATATATATATATGTGTGTATGTGTGTATTTTTTTTCCTCTTTGGTCAGTATTCTGAATGTTTACATCTGTTTGACATTAGCCATTTAATGCCTTTTTTTTTTAAAGGTGGTATTACTCTTACAGTGTAACGGGAAAATGTGAAATCGCCCCAACACAACATGTATGACAAACAGATTGGGGCTCAGGCCCTCGACATACATAGACGTTTTATATCAGCATCCAGAGAGGGAATGCCCTCCCGGTCCTGTACCAAAGAATATATCACTCCCGCGGGAAAGCTCAGCCAAGGAGTGGGGAGTCCTCAGCTGGGGGCGCGGTGGGCTCAGCGAGGCGGCTGCGATTGGAAACCGGTGTGCTTGCTTGGACACCCGACGGAATCTGACTGAGTGCAACAGCATTTAAACAACTTTTAGACGGCGTTTTGTTTGGAATTCAGGGATCACGCATTCTTTAATGGTGCTGTTTGTTTTTTATTTCTTCTTTTCTACAAAGAAAAAAAGTGTTGCCTACAAAAGTGACTGCTCACAATACCATAAGTTAAACAAAATGTTTGTCTTTTCATGTTTCTTGATTCTTCCCTTTCTCAAAGTAACAAGTTGGGTTTCAATATTCAACTGTTCTGGCAAAAATAAAGAAATTCAACATTAAGTGGCTGTCAT